ATTGTTGAAAGAAACATATAACTATGTGATGGCAAGACATAATATGGGATCTGAGAATACCACGAGACCTTTTAGATACTCATTTGCTCCACATAAAGAATTATTTTACACTTGAAGTTTATTAGAGACCTGTGATTATGATTTTCAATGTAATGCATCATCCTACTTGAGAGAAATTTCTTCCCTTTCCCAAGACCAAATGCCCTAATGCCTTGTAAACAGTAATGAATTGCCTGACTCTTATGAAGCGTACTTGTAGGAACACAATAAAAGTTCATAACACTAGGAAACTGCTTATAGCAATTTGAAGTGCTGGGAAGTTATATCTCAATAAATAAAACAGATTCACACTTTCTGGGTTTTTTTTTGACATCACATGGTTCTGTCTCAAAAGTTTAAATGAAGTTATAATGAGTAATTTCTCATCTTCTGATGAGAACAACTCTGATCCCAAAAGAAAAACATTGTCTGGTTCAAAGTTAAATGGCTCTGGCATTGTTTATTGGTTCTCAAAAAGCTTAACTGGATTTCAAATTGCTAAAAAGTGATTGTCATTGCTGATACTAAATTAGAAGTAATCAGACCAGGTTCAGAAGAGTAAAGTACAAGTAAGTGACCTAGCTCACATGGGTATTCAAGTACTCCAGATTAGTAATCAGACCAGGTTCAGAAGAGTAAAGTACAAGTGACTTAGCTCACATGGGTATTCAACTACTCCAGATGCCTGGGAAATATCTCTTGCTTAAACACATTCAAGGCAGAAGATGGACATTAGATGGCAAAATCATTTGATAATATTTTAGCTAGGTTTTTTTTTAGAATTGTGATTGAATTTAATAAATTCTCGTTAAATTTTTCATGAGTTCTAAAATATACAAATTCCCCAATGATGAGGAATTTGGGTTGTTTTTTATTTTTTTTTTTCCCTCAAGATAGATGACATAATTATTCTATTACTCTGACATTCACTGTAATGGAATGTAAAAGTGCTATTACTCCAGTTAGAAAGTGTTTAATATTCCACTTTTTGGGACACAATAATATAAATCTTTTTTTCGTTTTCCATTATCAGGCAGTTGAATAGAAAACATTACTGACTGACGTTTATATTAATGAGGCTAAATAAAAACACAGATGGCTTCTGCTAAGTGAAGGAACTGAAAGTAATGATGTGCTATCTTAAGCCACTGTCCTGCAAAATCAGGGACCAGGATAAACAGAAATCTGATTATTCTAGCTGAGCAAGAAAGCCCAGATAAACACAGCCTCTCTCTGCCTGGATTCTTGTCTGTACTAAAAAAAAAAAAAAAAAAAAAAGATTCTTTTTAAAGAAGAGTTGTCAATAATTTGAAGTAGTACTTGAATTTTTCTACACAAAACAGTGATTCAACACCACTTTGGAAGACAGTCTTGAGACGAAACTTTCTAGAAAAAATGAGTGCAGTAGATGAAGTCAAAGAGCCCAGAGCTGTGAAATGAAATTGTAGGCCTTTCAGTGGCCCAAAGAATGACAAAACAAGAGCAAGGATGAATTATTCTTGTGTCACAGGTTTTTCCCTAGCCAATCAATATTGTATTCAAAATGAACCAGCAGGACCAGAAAATATTGTAGCCTGATATATATGTTTCTCTCATACACCAGATTTCCTTAAAAAGAAGCAACCCAAAAAAAAGTTTGTATACATTTATGAAGGTTCAATAGGTTCAGATAGTTCCATTTTGAAATTAACACAGTTAACCAGAATTTTAACATAAACATAAAATTATAATAGTATATAAAAATTAAAGAAGTTTCCATTTGTTTATAAACTCTCATGTGTGAAAAATGGTTAAAAATTTACATCAAAATGCATCAGATTATTACTGATACTAGCTGTAATTATACAGAAGATTAATACTTTTTCCCTCAGCTCAGAGTTTTGACACAGAAAATAGTCTATTACACCATACATACAACTTCATTCATCCATGTGTCGCTTAACACTACAATTTAGGAATGACAAAACCAAAAGCCTAAATTATTCTCTTAATAAGGAATTTTTTGCAAAACTTTCAGTAGTTTACCACTTTCTGGGTGTGTTCATGTTGGCTATGTGTGTAGCTCTGATTTTGTTGCTAAAGGTTTTTCTTCTGCAAGATCTCATTGTTTAAAGTAATTGAAAAGGCCTCTGAAGAAAGGTTCATTTAAGAGGAAAAGAATGTATGGCAAAAGAGTTACATTTGTTTCTGAAACCGCAGTCCCTACTGGATTTTTGCCATGGATGGATGGATGGATGGATGGATGGATGGATGGATGGATTTCCAACCATTTCAATATCAAGGAGTCAAAGAAATTATTGAACAGAAAAGTTGTTGTAGTTGCAAATTATTAGTCTATACCTTAGGATTTTTATATATAATTTCTTTTTATAGGACTTAGTCCAAACTAGATTTTAAATGCCTTAAGAGCAGGACTCTTTCCATTTGCAGAGACTAACAGATCTTCATTTCAGCATTTTTCATTATATCCTAACTGATCTTTTTTTCAACTTCATCCAGTTATCTGTTTTTGTAAACCCTGGAGACATAGTAAATAATTTCTTTCCCTGTTTCTCCAGGTACCATTCAAATAACAATAAAGACTTGCAGCTTCAATTTAGTCAAATTTACTTTTTATTTTTTTAAATCTTGGTACACACCCACACGCTTAACATCACACCTCTTTATTCTCCATTAAGATCTCAAATGCAAAAGAGGCAGATGAGAGACACATCGGGGGTAGATGGGGACCCAAAAAGATTGCTGATACTTGAGAAATAACTGCATTGTCTCTGGATGAAAAAAGCCTCCTCTGCAGGTTGCAGTTAGGAAGAGCATCCTGCTTTTGATAAGTGAGATGAGTGGCAACAGAAACCACATCTCCCCTGAGCATTCAGCTGCTTGAGACAGGAACAGTTTCCAAATGAGTCTTTGCTCTGGAATATTTTCTTCAAGTTCTTTAAGAAGAGAGGTTAGTTGAAAATTTTCTTCTGATTTCTCCGTTGTTCATAATTTAATTTTTAAAGTTGTCACTACCTAAGTAGTACCACTTCTAGGTGGTTTAGGTGATAATTTCTGTACTGGAGTCCTCTCTGTGCTGCTCTGTTATACTCTGGAGTGGAATCCTCTCTCTGTTACTCTCTTATACAATCTCAAAAGCCATCATTCTGTTTTATGAGTTGGCAGGAATCCCTCCCTGTGCACACCTATGGACAATAGATCTCAAAAAGTCATGCCTTATCCATGTATGCATAATAAAAGACTGTCCAAATAATAATGTGGAATGTGAAGTTCTTCCTCTTATTGGTGATCAAGGAGGGAGCAGCGCTGTTTTGCACTTGTCAGATTAATCATATTCTCATTTTGGCCAATATTCCTTGAAGCTCTCTACTACTTGCAGAGCTTCTATTGAAATGTATGGAGGGGAAAAAAGGAAAGAATCAAGGAAGAAAAAAGATATAGCTATTCCATCTGAAGTCTAGAATAATTTATGCTGCTGTATCAATTTACCAGCATTGATCTTTGTGTAGAAATTCTCCCTACATCAGTAGAAAAGGAATGAGGATAAAACATGGTCCATGAAATTGTTTTTAATTGAGAGTTTTTAGATAGACTAAGTTGCAGATTTTTCTATTAATATATTGTCAACCATAATGCACAACACTTTGGAAAAAAAATGGCAAAGAAATCTAAAGCAAAGGACATATGGAACAGGGCAAGGAAATGGCAAAAGCCCACGGACCCATGCTAAATGAGAGATAAAAATTTAACCCTCTTTTCAGAGTGGATATGCGTGGTTATAACAAAATTTTGTCTTTTGTCTTTGAATTTAGAACAGATACATATACCTGGATATCAGATAATTTGCTAAAGAAATTCTCCCTTCTGTTGCTGTTTGAACCTTCTATATATGTTTAGCCACTGAAAAACAGTATCATGGACTTGAAAGAAGTGATACTGTTTTACTATGCTGGTTAGTTTTATAAGTATTTTCCTTGAATTAACGAAAGAAAACCAGAAAGAAGAGCAACACAGAGCCTGTAGACCTGCCATATTCTATGATGCTACCGGAATAATATAAGGAAGAATTTTGGGTCTGCTTATTTTAGACAGTATTCTAGAGAATATTGTTCAACCTAATACAACAATTTTGCTGAAAAAATAGTGACATAATTGACAAAATTACATAATAATTACAGTGCTTTAGAGTCAGCTATACTAAAGCATGACTCATCACTCAATACATAAGAAGTCACAGAACTACGTCACATCCAGCAGTGCAGTTGCAGTGCAGTATAGTGGAACTGCAGCCAAAGAAGAAATTTAAAATCAGCAATCTTTTGTTAACAAGTGGGGGAGCAGGGGAATTAATAGAAAGTATGACTATGAATTTTGTTTAGCTTTAATGAATTAAACAGTGCCAAGGAATACTTGTACAATTGCAATTAAGATTTACAGCCTTTTAAGAAAAATATTTAATACATGTTACTACTTGAACCTCACACATCCTCGGGTAATACTTGTAATAGTTTGCTTTATTGAGGAAGGAGAACTATTCCACTCTTCATCTGGGGAAATGATTGGTGAAGTGGAAAAGCAATGATGGAATTTTCTGAGATAATTACATTTTTTTATTAGAATACTTTATCAATGATCTTTTTGAAAGAAAAGCTGTACAGTGTAACAGCCAAGCATAAAACACTAAACTTCCTATGAAACATTTTGAATGACCTTCTCTAATAGCAGTCATTTGAAAATAATACTTTTAAAAACTGCAGAATCTGAAAATCTTTCCCTTGAATAAGCCTTACTTGTTATGCAAAAGATACATATGACTTTTATCAATTTCCTATATGTTAATACCTTTCTTGATAATAAACTAACCCCCAGCTAAAAATATTATTCAACAGCAAGATTATATGTCATTAGAAAAGTTACAGTAACAAGCTTTTTCTATTAGAAATGTGATGGTTTTTACTTACCAGGTGTAAAATTATACCGAGCAGAAAACCCAATAGATTCCAGTTCAGCATCAGCAAAAAATTTAATCCACAGGAATCTGCCACTGGATTTTATCATAGGTGGATTTTGCTGTCCACAGAAACGGCCAAGGATTGGGGAAAAGCCAAAAGGTCCATCTCGTACTTCTATGTGGTCAAATTTACACTCCCAAGAAGGCTCTATGGAATATTTTTCATCAAAATGTAGTTCAATGCATTGTCTAGGAGCAGCTAGGGACAAAAAAGAAAATTATGTTATTATTTTCTAACCCAAGACCCTTCAAAACTAAAGCAAAACTGAAGAAAATCAGATTTATCAATTGTGTATGGATCCTAAAATTTTGTTTAAAAACTTGTACAAAAATTAGTACATCTATATTATTTTTGATTAAAAATTAGTACATCTATAGTTTTTATAGGTTTCACACTGTCAGGTTATTTGTCTGTTGTTTTCCTTTAAAAAAGTATTCTTGACAGCAGTGCTTAGTAAAGCTAAGAGAGAGATATCTATGATGAACAGAAAAATATAGCCAGGGATAATTTCTTCAAATATAAGATATAAAATGTTTCTAAGAAATTTACATATTTAGAAAAATATTTTTTTCTCTTGTATTTTTGGGAGGGGTGTTAATCAGAATACTTTTTTAATACCTAATACTGAGAAAAATGATGAGGAAAAGGTTGATCAGAACTGTGCTGCAGTAAGGACAGATTATCTTCCTATATGTATTGCAGTCAATGACAAACTGAAGTGTAATTCCATATACTCAGAATTACTTCTCATTGGAAACATAAGAACAAATGCAATGAATTCTCACTTAAGAAAAAAGGATAAGGATCCTAGATAAGGATTATAATAGAAGAGCAAATGATATACTGAAAATCTTGAAGGAAGTTCATAGTGGCCATTTAAGTAGACATTTCTAAAAAGTCCATCTTTAATGATAGGTCTTAAGTCTAGAGACGATTGGAACGGTCTCTAAAACAAATATTTCCTGGCATCTCCTGTATAAAGCAAAAAAACCCAAAAAAAAAAAAAAAAAAAAAAAAACAAAAAAAAAAAAAAAAAGGGAAAAACCAGTAACTGGTAGAAATATAGTATTTTCTTACAAGGAGGGAGAATACATTTTATGAGAGGCAAGCTCCTAGAGGTGCACTGTTTTCTATGCTTAATCCTGGCCATAGGAAAAGCTGTGTGCCTTCCGTGTCTAGAGCATGGTGCATTGGAGCCTTTTGCTGACAAAGCCTTCTGATAAGACAAGGATTTGTTGTGTCATTGCCTGCTGTGCCTCTCATGGGATCATGTCCTATACTTTACACATATCAAAAGAGGTTTGTATTACCATGAGCTTTGCCAGAGTTACCATTCTTTTCACATAAAAATATGCAAGATCAAGTTCCATGCCGAGTTATTAGCATGGAAACTGCTTAGCATGGAAACTGCTGCCACTCCAAGAGTCAGGATCTCTACATTTATTTCCTCAAGAGTAATAAGAAAACTATCAGTGTCACAAGAACAAAGATCTTGTTTGGATTCTGAAATGTTTTAAAGTGAAGCTTTTGTTATGAACTCATTACTCACATAAGGAGAGAGACTATTTAAAATTAACTGAGTAAGAAGATATCAGGTAAATTTTGAAATCTTTACATAAGAGCACATAGTCAGATCCCTCTTACAACAATTCCATGTAAATAAATACAGCCTCATTTTATAAGAAGCATTTGAGAAGTAAGTTAATAAAACACCTTATTTGAAAAGAAAGAATAATTTAACAGCTTACAATGTTAATGTAACTGGATGATTGATATTTATTGAAACATTTAATTGAACATAAAAAGAAACCTTTTCTACTGTTCTTAATTTGAAGACATTCAAATTCAGGGAAATACTAATTAGTGACTTGTCATTATTTACACCGATTTATGGGAAATTTGTGATCTTAATGCCCATACAAATTCAGTAGAAAAAGCAAAGGTCTATGTTTTACAGATAATTGCACCAAATTCTCAGTCTATGGAAGCTAATTTGAAAGTACAAAAAATTTGCAAAAGTAAGGTCAGATAATAAAGCTAGTAAGGATAATGATGTTATCCTTACTGAGGTTTGAAGACCAAAGTAAATCTTTTTAGATCATAATAAAAGATTAAATACCTGGAAGACATCATTGATTAATTTTATTCAGAAGTTTCTATCCTTGAATTTACACTTTTATAAAAATTATTGATTTAAACTCAACTAAGCAATACTAGGACAGAAGAGAGCAATCAGCAGCTTTCAATTTGGGATCATATTCTGCATGCTCTTATTCCATTTAAGGAGATTTGTTGAGAGCTGTTCATCATCCACCCAAGGACTGCAGAGTCAGGTAGCAGAAACTCTGTCCTGACAACACTTTAGGTAATCTTAAGAATGCTCATCATGGCTTGAAAATCTTACACATTCATGACTCCAATGTTATACTATTAACCTGTCTAGAGCTTTATTATTATGTTTTAATGTCACAAAGTAGATATGAAACTCAATTCTCCTACTACTGACTGTCAGCTATGCTGACATACAGCAGCATGCAGCTGTCCTTCCCACAGCCACAAAGTGATTGCTTCAAAAATGTCTCATGCCATTATCATATTTATCCTTTAAAAACTTCCTTTTCTGTTTCCTTGTTTCGTACCAAGAAGAGGGTTACAAGTGCTGGCCCATAGTTAAATCCTTAACAGGTCTTCTCTGTATCCAAGACTCATGTAACTTTAAAAATGGCCACAAGGCCCCCTCAGAGTTCAGTCATTTGACATGATTTTTGGTGTCAAAAAGAAGACCTAGAGCCAACTATAGCCTTAGTATAGGAGGCTCTGAAGTAAAAGGAAAGATTGTGGATAAATAAAAATCAGGTCTACAGAATTACACATGAGAGTTATTGGCTGGGTGAATGAAAGACCTGAGAAAAAACAAAATTTCCACAACCCTAATCTCCATGTAGCCTTCTGAATCTCACACTGCCAACCAGTTTTATGACCAGAGCATTGCTATAATTTACACTATTCTGCCTTTATTTATTTTTCAACAAACTCAAGATGAGGCTTTTCCTAGTGAAGCTCAGATCTTGCTAGAGGATCAGAAGAATCACATCAGATGAAGGAGAGTTCAAGTTTCCACTTTTCCCTGAAGGTCCTGTGAGTAGAGGCCACTTCACTTTAAGAATGGAGCATTGAATATTCATTAGCAGCACTTCTCCACTGGGGATAAAACAAGGCTGGGGATTGAGTTTGAGGGCTGGACCACTGCCCACTCACATCCCTTATAAATGTGAAGTCATGTTCTGGCACCATTTTGGCCATGCCACTAGGAACAGCTCATATTTCGGTAACTGTGTGTAACTCCAGGGTGCAACACACGCACCCATGATCTTTTAATCAGGTGCTTTTGAATGCACTTCTGTTTTCTTCTTATGCTTCATATTTAGTTAATGGTTAAATGCGTTGTTTGCAATAATCTACATAAGACAAAAAATTAATCAAAACTCCTAGATATGACCATAAAGGATGAAAACATATAACTCAAATTTTCAACTTTAAGTTCCTTTTAGCAAAAATTGTATCATTTCACACTTATGCTCTGGCTTTAATAAGGGGTTTCTTTTCTAAACACAAGGTAGAACAAGCAGCTATTGTTTAAGTACACATCTTGTGCCACAGCTTTTCCAACAAAGGGTGTGTGAATGAGGTTACAGTAAAATTTACAGAAATAAACAGGGAACAAGACCAGAATAGTCACTAATACTAGTGTGTGTGTACCTACAGAAAAATAAACCAAAAAAAAAAAAATAATCCAGATTATGCAAATCTTCCAGCCTGCATTGGCATCTGGCCATCTAATCAGAAAAGGAGGGATGGAGTGGTTATTTCTGGTATCCTAATGAACAGGTAAAGCCCATTCAGATCTTCAGAACTTCTTCTGTGGCTGTGATGTCAGGAAAAGTTGTTGTCCACTCCAAATGAAATATATTGAATAATGTCTCATAAAATAACTTGATATCAAATGCCACAAGTTCCATATTTAACTTCCAATTATCTTTCTTCAAAAAATGTTTAGAACCATGGAAAGGCCTACTTAATGCTTGCATGTCTTGTCATCTTTTTCATCTAACTCTCTTACACAAGAGCTGTCTCAAGATTTTACATCCAATGAGAAAAGAAAGAGTCATTGGGTTCCATCTTGCAGTAGGACAGTTGCAGAAAGCTACACAATTAAGGTTTTAATACTGATCAGCCTCTAAGTCTGTGTAGTGACAGCTGAAGTTAAGTGAAAAAATCTGTTTCAATTTGCCACACTGCATGGAAATGAGAAACAACTCAACACCTACTGCCATCTCTATGAACTGTTACCCTACTAATAGTTTCAATCATCCTAATTCTTTCTGGTTATCCTGCTATTATTGATAAGGAAACCACATTCATCTTCATCTGAAAATAGGGTTTTTTCATTGTTTTGGTGAAACATTTTTCAACACAAGAATCACTGTGAAATACAAAAGGACTTCGAGCAGAGGTTTTTCATTTGGTGATAACATGACAATTTCCTAACACTTGTGAAATATCATGAAATAGTTTAATGGTCTTTTGTGAGAACATGAGATTTTCAAGATTGATAACTCTATATGTTCACAAACTTGTAAAGTGGAAGATATATTTTATATCTCCATAAAGCAATTCTGGTCCATACCTGTATTTATAAATAAGCACTTAATTATTAAAAGCAGAAGAGTGGTTACAATTTTACAGGTTTTTCATTTATGGGATTGTTAAACTGATTCTCAAGTTATAGTGTGTATGGTATGACTATCCCACTCCCCAAGTATTTTAATACAAATAAAAACCTTTGCTCCTACAAAATCTCCTGTGCAAATTTCCTTTTATAGCACACATGCCAAATGTTCTGCAGTCTGGCAAAGGCTATTGCTGTCACTGCTGTGATTGTTCTGGGCAGCTGTGAATTTTGTCAGGTTAGAATCATGAATATGCAGAAAAAGGGTGAAATTTGGCCAATTTTTCTCAGCTCATTTTCTATGTTTTCTATATGCCAACTAAGATTGAAAGAAAAAAAAAAAAAAAAAGAAAAAACCAAACAAAAAGAAAAAATTCTCGTTGCATTTTGAAAGGCAGATGGGATTCATCAGAAGATCCTTGGGGAGTTGTATCCCACTCCTCCAAGCCTCACTTGTGATACTTCTCTGTAGCATAACAATTTTTGTATAGAGGCCATGATTTCCAGATGACTCAAAGGATTTTTTTTAGAAAGGCATTCAACCCGAACTTTAAAATTCCTAGATGTCCAAAGAGTTCATTATTGTTACTACAAAATCAGAATTTAAACAAAAAAAAAAAAAAAAAAAGAGAGAAAAAGCAGAATAATCTAAGAAACTTCTAACTGTTTGATTTGCTTATGTCTTTCACTGCTGGGATGGAAGCCTCTGCAGTCAGGAATCTCCTTTTCTTTCAGAAATTCACAGCCTATGATCATGGCAACTTCTGCCAGCTCCTTTACGTCACCAAAATAATTTTGACATGATAAAGGGATTGTATATGTATAAGTTGAGCTACAATGGGGACGAAAAAAAAAAAAAAAGATGAAATTCAACTGTTTACAGCACACTACAAGATGGAGTCCTCAGTAAAGACCACTTAAAGTCACTAGGAATTGTGTTTGAATGTGCCCTAAGACTATGTTTGACAGCAAATAAATGTAGGAATGAATGCAAGCAGCCAGCAGAGAACCTGGTGATTCATATATGCATTTATACTCACATCATACAGCTTTCAGTATGTTATATACAGTCCTGGTAGGCTGAACTCCCTGAGACACACAACAGTGAGATAGTGATGGGGGGATGATATTCTAGACCACATCAAGAGTCCCTCTGGTTTGGTGCTTGGCATTCAACAAGATTCAGAAGCTGTTCAAGCATATTGAAATTTCAATACTAATTATAGAAATAAAATGCATAAAGAGATGTTTCTGTCTTACTCCAAAATATTTATTTCCTCCATTAGTCAGGATTGCCCACAATTTCTATAGATTGTTATCTGATTTCAAAGACATTGCTATCAGTGTGGGGGTTTTTTAATCTTTTAATATCAGTGTCTTATGACAATGAGTTTCACAGAATATAAAAGATGTAGGGAAAAGCTAATGCTTGCTAGACTTCTTTATCATTTTCTGTCATTTTATATGTTGCAAAAAGAATAAATATGGACAAACAAATTATTTTAATCACAAAAAAGTTTTTGTTGACCTTCAGTAATTCTTTTGCTTTTTTTTTGGACATCTGACATATTTTAAAATATTATTGCTCAGATATCTTCCTATATCTCTGCTTATTTTTGTGACATTTTCCAGACAGAAATTACTATTTCTGATGTTTTTAGAAGACAGAAATAGACATGGGGACATCAGAGCTGAAAATGTTGTGCAATGTCTATGGTTCATTGTGGGTTTTAAAATAACCAGCTGCAATCCAAACTGTTGATTAGGCTGGATGGGAAGAAGAAAATACCCATGCCATAAAAAAATTGTGATCAACTGGATTTTATAAGACTGAATTTTCCAATAAATTATAGCAAGATGTCTGCTGAGTTTACTCTTTTCCTTATACATTGCTCTAAACTTGTCAATGTGGAATTTCATCTTCGTCATAGACGTTGGTTGATTAAATCTTTCCTTCTTAAATTGTTCTTTGGCATTTCCATTTTTAGATATTTTAGATCACATTATTTCAACAGTGTATTTTGCAATATTTCAGCATGTTATATTTTTTAAATACTTAATTGTTGTAATAAAGGTAAAAGTCTTTACTGTATTGGACTTTCAAGCACCTTCTTACTATGAGGAAGAACATCTCATGACCTCAGATGTGGGACTAAATTTTACAAAAATGATGGGTTATTTTCTACACCATTTCACTTTAATGACAAAACATCCTGTGTTTCAGATCTTTGAAAATAAAACAGGCTTGCTTCTCCCCAGTCTCACAGGTGTGTTAGATAATTTGATCAATAAATGCAAAACGACCCGGATTGAGCAACATAAGTGTAACTGGAAAAAAAATAATCCTACCTTGTATATTTTGAACTTATACATTTATATGCTTTTAAAAACTTATTATTTTAAACCAATTTCTAAACTTTGCTGGAATTTAAATATTTATCATATGTGTGTTTAAATTTCAGACATGTACAGACTAACTCAAATTTTGTTTTAAGAGTTTGTTTGGCTACATTATTTATAATCAACTCTTCTGACTTACTTCAGTCAAGTTATCTAGCACCAAAGTGAAATTCAGTCATTTTGCTGTGACTTGACTTTCTAAAAGTACAGAGTGTGTGTGGGTCCAGAACAGTTCATTCAATTTAAATCAGCTGTATATCTCTGGAAATATGTCTTGGTGCTACCTGCATCTTTTGTAAAATAATGATTTCTGTAGTTCCTCACTCCATCATTAATTAATTAATAATTTTCTAAATGAAACATTGATAGAAGACCATCACTGTTTTATTCTATATGTATTCACAGCTCATGAAAGAAGTTTTTTGATTCCAGGGATTTACTATACAGTACCTGATTCATCTTTTCTGAGCTCTGAGAGGATCTAACCTCTGTTACTTTCCACAGGTTCATTATTACAGCAATCTCTACAATATCTATTGTACTAAGACTAATGAAAAGAAACCACATAGTTTGTTTGTAATACACCTTTAGCCTTTCCTACATCACTTCCATGCCTGCAATTGTATACCCTTTAAAAGCTAAGTTTTAGAGATGCTTTATGCTAATGTATATTCTCCTCTAGTTTTATTTTGTAGGTTGGGTTTATTTTATTTTAATTTCTTATGAACAACTGGATGGAAAATAATTTTAACACTCACTACATGGATATTTTCTGTATGATTTGTTTTACTGTACTAAGCTTGTCAACCCTGGTTCAGCTAGAGTAAGCTTAAAATATCTGCATGAAAGTCAAAAGTATTTTTGTTTCTCATGTTCATTTTTACTACTCATTTTAAAATATCCTTTCTTTTGTCACATTGCATTTTAGGTTCTATTCATTTTCTAAATATCCTGAAATAAATTCCTGAAATACTGCTTATTACTAAGTCTTACATACTTACCACCTTAACTAATTTATGAGTTATATCAAAACAGAAATCAAGATGTTCTCTAAATCTTTTGCCTTGAAAATATTTGTTACCATGACTTTACCTACTCTTCACATATAATAAAACCTATTCTTTTTAAAACAGTTGATGGTAAAATATAAAGATTCTTCTTTTGGTCACCTTCTATAATGTAGACACACTCTCTGTCCGGAGGATACTTGTTGGGGTAATTTGGAGAAGTGAAGATGCCTCCTTCTGCATATTTTGTCCAAGTTCCACACTGCACTGGTCTCTGTCCTTCGGAAACAGTTTGCTTTTCTGTGAAATGATGACATTAAGCATTATATAATTAGCCAAAAAAATTATTATGTCCATGTCACACTTAAAACTCTGTAACAGGATAAATACAACAGCCCCTTTTCTGTCAGTGGCCTCAAACTTTTATCTGTGGAGACTGATTATGATAACTGATCTAGGGGAAAAGAAGGCTAAAAGTGTTTTAGGGGTACAAACACATAATTCTTACTCAAAATAGGTTTCTCAAAGCAAAGGAGAGATTTGAATGTCTAGGAGAAAATAAATTTGCATTGGTTTTAAAGTAATAACCTTCTAAAGAAAGCACATGCTTGAGAATTGGAAGGCATGCATTTCCCACTCATACATCTCAAAAAGCTCAAGCATGTGCTTTATCAGCAAGCTTCATGCCATAATACAGGAATATATCAGTCACAAAATCAAGGAAGTAACCCAGAGAATTATGATCATATATATATAAGTTGTTTTAAATCTGCAGCATATTTAGTCTATATTCACTGGACAGAGGTAGACAGGGAAATTCCTGGAATCTGGTTCATAGATTATTTTTATCTCACTGTTTGCTTTAAAATTAATAAATAGCTCTGAGGCCAGGAATCACAGCCCAGAACTTGCCTTCTCCTAAGTGAATCCTCAGAGAAAAGAGTCAGACCTTCTTGTCTGCTTTCTTCCCAGCCCTGAATCTCTTTCATTTCTTTCTGCTCTCTGGCAGAGAGACTCGAGTCAAAGGTTTGGGCCAGCTCAGGCTGAAGAAGATCAGGGATCCCTTCCTAAGCATCTTGCTTTGACAAGTAGGCTAAAATGAGATGGATTCTTCAGAAGGAAATATATCTAGGCTGATATTAAAAGGAAGGATAGTACGTTCTAGAGTGGTGTTGCTCTGAATGAGGTATTTCATAATCAAAGAGCTGGCCCATATAACTTAAGCCCCGAGTGCACAGAGTAAAGGTGTTTGAGGCTCCCTCTTAGGATCAATGGATGGAAACAAGCACCAAGGATGATAATAACCATCTGAGATCTGACTTATACTCTGCAAGCATTTCTTTTTCACCCTGGTGCATATCCAGGCAGAGTATGACACGGAGCCCAATTTTCTGCCATGAATTCCAGCCTGCAGGGACTGTGCATTCAGACACAGGTTCAGACACACACTGTGCTCAGCAGCAGTCCCTGCCAGGCTCTCCTTATACTGGGCATCTAAGGCTTTCAAGAATCTCTTTCTCTACTCCCCCTGCACAAATGCACCCATGATACCAAATTTCAGGTTTTTAATTATACTTCAACAGCAAAAAAGGTTTTAAGTGTAGGTAGCTGAGTGCCCAAACTGGACTTCCCAATTTGAAAGTGGGAATGTTTTATAGTCTTTAGTTAGAGTCAGGCTGAGCCTGATGAGCATCCCTGGATTTTTTGTGTGTATACAGGCATGTGAATACTCCAAACAAATGGACAAAGGGCAGACAGTGGAAGTAAACAAGCTGCTAAATTTCAAAAACTAAACTAAAAACTCAAATCCATATTTTGGTCTCTAATAAATTGTCTGACAAAAATGTTTGACATTTACATACCTGTTCCTTTTTTGGTTGCCCCAGACAAATGTAGAATGATTAGACTTGCTACAACTGAAAGAGAAATATGCATTAAGTATCACAGAGTGATAGTTTCTGCAATGAAATTACTTGCACTCATCTTACAAGAATACAAATGAAATAACATTTCTGTAAAGAAAAAGTTTCATTTTTACTTGCATCTTTTAATTGCACATATTGTATAAGCAAGTTTCTTCATGGCCTGTTCTTGTAAGTACTTATCTTTGTAAATGTATGCAAATAAAGAGGAAATCTTTTGGGTTTAAAACAAAATCCACAGGCACTGATGTTCTCATCCTTTTTTATCCTTTTTTCTTTAATATTAAAGAAAAACATTTTTACCAATACCTATTTATATAATAGTTCATGCCAGTAGTAGAAAACTGGCTGCTTTTAACAGAGGGAGACTAAATTTCAGTGCCACTGCATGTACTAATGTCTCTCACTATGGCACAATAAAATTTGAAAATGAGTACTGGAAGTAGGAAAGAAGTGAGAGGTTGGGTTCTTCATATCCATCAAAGCATTTGCAAATCTCTAGTGAAGTAAATTATTGTGTGTGCTTAACAATCTCATTAATCTAGTTTGACTTGTCGAGAGGGTGTTGCTTTTTTGCAGCAGTGAATCTGCAGCCCACTTTACAAACAGGTATCTGCTGTCTCCAACCGTGATAGGACAACTGTGCCTCTTGGAAACAAATGCAACCTTTCTGAAATGGACTTTGACCTGGAGATAATGACTGGGTTTCTGGGAATTTCCAGATATAACAGTTTGACTAGAAAAGGCTAAGAGGCAAACCCTTAGTAGAGTCATAATGAGACTAATTTGGAAGATCAAAGTGACTAGCGAGCTACCTGATGAAGAAATCACACAGTGATTTTCCTGTCATCATTCATATCTTCTTTGGCTATCAGAGAAAGTGGAATTGCAAGTGCAGAAGAGAGCAGATCCATCAGTTCTTGGAGTGCTTAGGGCTTTATCCCAGCTAGTTTGACATTAGGCTCAAACACAGTGTCCAGGTTGCACTGACCTTAAGGTGGAAATTAAGTTGTGTGCTTATTCAGAGCATTTTGGATCAGTCAGCTACCATTTTGTTGATGACTATGATGAGGAACCCATTAATTAATAAAAGTAATTGAATGGCATACTTTCTTCTCATTTTCCTTAAGAGACACTAAAAGCCACCATGGGCTAGTAACTATGGTCCTTTCCAAGACAGTGCTTTTAACATTTTCATCTTTTTCATCATAATTTATGTGCAATTTTCACTCCAAAGGAAGCCATTCTCCATATTTCCAGTATTCTGATGGCATTGAGATCCTTATTTCTTTGTCTTTACCTTTCCCATGTGACAGAGGGTTTGAGGCATGGATGATGGCTGCTCTATTAAGCAGGGTAAGATTGAAATTCTGGGAAAATGAAGGCTTGGCAGCAAACTCACTATTTCTTGGTCAGGCTCACAGCCCCTAGACATGGATATTGGCAGCACTGATAGTTAAAACTCTTGTGTGTCATGGGCATTCTATGAGAACACTACACCTTCTGCTTGGATCTGAATGCTACCTAGCCATTCATGCCCTTACTCTCCTCAGGGATGAATTCTGGGAATATATGATAGCTGGGACTCTGCCTGCCAACTCTGTCAAAATCCGAAGGCAAGGCAGGAGTCATCCCTTTACTGAGTTGCTCATTTACTTTAGCTGTGTTTCATGCAGTGATCATAACGCATCTATGCTTGTAATCTTCACCAGCCTACACCTAGTTTCTCAATAGTGTAAAGTTGATTGGTGTTCAAATATGGAATCAGCTGCCAGGGTTCCTTCTGCCCATAAATTTGTGGAAGCTAGAACAGGACGCACAATAACCGAACAAAATCCACGTGAGATTTTGTTATTCTTTTAGGCAATTAATAACAATGCATATCTGATCCTTACACGTTTAATTCAAGTACCTTTATCTATTAGGTCTCCCCTCATTTTCTATACAGAAAAAAGTGAAGTTCAGAGAAGTAAAGAGAGTTGGTCCAAGTCACAGATATATTATTACCAAGATGACAAAAGCTCCACAGCTCTTTTCAGTTCCAGCTGTAACTGCTAGAAAAGAGGTTTCCAAACCACAGAGTTGTTTTCCTAAAGCATAGAACTTTACTTAAATGCCATTATATCAGCATTTGCTACTAGTAAGTCAAAATAATCTTGATAATAAAGTCTAATAGACAAGCAGAGACTTAGAAACTGTTTGGGGGTTTTGGTTTTATTCTAGAGGTATAATATCTAACATTTGGATAGATAAAGTGAAACACTTCTCTCATGTTAAAAAAAAAGAAAAAAGAAAAATTTTCTTGTTTTAGTGTTATTAACAGCAGCACAAAAATATGCAAGTTGCCAGAAAGTAATTAAAATTGTGGTCTTCTTGGGAAAAGCCAACACAAATACATATTATTCAAGTAGACAAGGCAGACCATTTTATTCTATGATCCCTCTGCACAAATGCACCCATGATACCCAATTTCAGGTTTGAATTTCTCATGCCTTTTTCTTTCTCAAGCCACAGAAAAATAACAGTGCTTTTCAGAGACGGGGGGGAAAAAAGCAAGACCCCAAAGAGATCAACCATGGAATCTTCACTCATTGAAAACTGTCACTTGGGAAGTGTTGGCAGCATAGCAACAATATTGTCATTATCTCGGTTTGGGAATTATTTTAAAGAAGTTTCCACAAAATTTCTTGTTGCCTTCTCACTGTCTTCCTCCTCCCCCTTTCCCTCCTAATCACGGGTGTAATTATAATCGTGCTTTCTAGTGCCACTCCGATTACGCATCTTTGCATCTTTTTTGGATCTGTGCATTTTTTTCATTACAAGCTGTACATTAAGTGATTTATCTCTTGGCCAGGCTTTTAGGAGGCTGTGATTTGGCACAGACATGGCTTAGCCTGGCGAAGAGTTGTTGGACAAGCAATACCTGGTCATAGCGCTATTGTACAGGTGTGGGCGCGCAGAGAAGTGCTGGGAGGAACTGGGGCCAGTCGAGCCCCTTCAGAACAGTGGACCCTCCGCAAAACAGAGGCGGGAGAGGGAGTCCCACCTCCCTCCTTGAGGCCCCTAAGGTCTCGGAAGAGTAGGTGATATATTTCGGTGCCTCCTTGCTAATCCTGGTGGATTTCAGCCCAAAGCGCCGCCCCCGCCCCGCAGCTCTCCGGGATCCGTGCCCGGTGCGGCCGCCCCCGCCCCCGCCGCGGCTCCCGGCGCTGCCCCGCGCCCCCTCACTCTTGGCGGCCGCTTCGAGCCCCGGCCGGAGCCCCACGGCGCCGCGGGCAGCTCCCTCCGCTCTCTCCCGGCGCGGCAAAAGCCAGCAGAGGCGTCGCCCCCAGGTGAAAGCCTCCAGCCCCCGGGAGCGTGCCCCGCCGCCCGCCCCACGGAGCTGGCAGACGCCGGCTCCCCTCCGGAGCACCGCAGCGTGGTGGGGGAGAGGATGCGGTGTGTGCCTGGGGGGCAGTTCGCCCCCTCGCCCAGGAAGCCTGAGCGTCCCGTTACGCCAGGAGTGGAGGCAGCGGAGGGCAGGAGCCCGTGCGCGGCGGCGGAGCTCGATCGGGGGTGGGAAGGGGGAGACTGATACTCACTGTGAAAGAAGCTGCGCCCATGGGTCATGTCTGTTCCTTACACAAGGGGCTTCGGTCTCCACTAATTCCATTTAGATACGGGAGGACTTCCAGTGGCGGGGAGAGGATGGAAGTAGGAAAAAAAAAAAAAAAAAAAAAAAAAAAAAAAAAAGGAAAAAAAAAAAAGCCTGAAGCCCACACACACAGCAGAGCCGAGCAGCCTTTCCTCTCCCTCGCTCTCCCTCACCGCCTTCAAATGATCACCGCCGGCTCAATCCCATCACACCCGAGCGATCACCAGCACCGCCACGAGCGGTGCATCGCGGCGGCGGCGGGCAAGGCGGCGGCGGCGGCGGCGGCCCGCGCATCCAGGTGCCGGCGGGCGGCGGCGGCGGAGCGAGCCGAGCCCCTAGTCACCAGTTTCATACAGAACCAAAAGCAGATCGAAGCATTTCCTGCAGGACTCCGAGCCCAGCGACTTCCAGCCCTTCGGCTTCTTTTGATGCATTGAAGAAGGGATTAATGGGTCCGTCATCAGCTCCCTGTGCTTGCTCCTCTGAAGGGGTGGGGGCGGGCGGGAGGGAACCCAAAGAGGAGGGGTGGGGTAGAGAAAGATTTACCAAATAGGGGATTTAGTCATATTTGTGTGCAATGAGAACCTTATTAGAGAAGACATCCTTTAAAATCGAATAAATCCATTTTTGCAAAACCCTCTCCCTGCGCATAACATAGTATCAAGTGGTAGCAGCGGCAAGAGGCTGAAAACACATTGCACGGTCTGAAATCCCCTTGAGAATGGATGGAGCGAGAAAGAGATGGACGAGGATAGACAGATGCCCCCTCACTTCTCCAGTCCAGGGCGAGAAGCAGAAAAAAACCGTGGAGACTCTTCCATTCATTCAGTGGAGGGGAAGGGGAAGGGAAAGAGGAGAGGAAGGACGGGAGGGTGGCAGTGGTGGGGAAGGAATGATTTCAAAACTGGGAAAGGAAGGGTAAGAGAAGAGGGATCGCTTCCCCTCTCCTAATCAGTTCAAACAAAATGCTCATGAGTTGCTCCTTGACCTGCACCTGCCAAAGGGAAATTGAAAAGATTTTCCTCCTTGACAGACGACTTCTTCCTCTACACACCCACACCCACGCACGCACAAAGACACGCACACACACGCACAAAAGGGAGCAATAAAAGTTTATCTGCTAATCCTCCGGCCGCAGATACAATGATTACCTCTTCCAATCAGCCCAGAGACGACTGCAAAATCTCTCCCGCCCTCCCCCCGCGTCTAGGACTTATCTTCCTCCCCAGCTACAACCCATCCCAAACACCCATCCCTTTGACGAGATTGCGGAGGGCTGGTGGTCAGGGCGGGAAGGAGGGGGGCAGAATATAGTAGAAAAAACATATTAATAATAAGACTGGTTAAATGGTCTCAATGGAAAACAAGAGGGGAGGAGGAAGGGATGAACAGAAAGGGCTGTGTCCCCTCTTGGCCTCGGGAGCCGGCCCTGCAGAGCCGCGGCAGCCGGCACCTCTGACTCCCGCAGCGCCGCGGACCCGGCACTCCCGGCCCGGGCGAGGGGAGGGCGGCAAGAAAGGGCAGGGAGAGAAGTGCACTGCTGGGGCTGCGGGGAGGGACGAGGAGAAGGGAAGATTTGTGTCACAGAAGTGCGGGGGGAGCAGGATGGGATCCCCCGGCTTCTCTGCACCGCTGTTGCGGCGGCCAGGCTGGGAACAGCCGGCGCGGGAAATCCGCCGACCCCAGCGGGGATGGGGGCAGAGCCAGGAGACCCGGGATACCCGCAGCCCCTGCCCCGGGCTCCCCACGCCGCAGCAGCATCTCGGAGGCGGGGTCGGCGCCGCTCCTCCTTGCCCGCACCTGATGCTCACGCCGTTCGCAACAAGAAAAGTGCGTCTGGAAGCGCAGCCGGGGCAGGGAGAGGACGGGGGAGTGTTGGGAAGGAGGCTGTAAGTCAATTAAAAATGAAATGCAGCCCGGCATCCTGCTTTGCGCGGGTGCGGAAAAGCCGGGCGGGGGTGAGCGCAGGTCGGGCGGCAGCGGTGGCTGCGTGCCCGCGGCTCCGCGGCCGGGCGCGGTGGGCGGTGCGCGCCCGCGGAACCGGGCTGCCCGCTGGGGCCGGACGGGTCTGTCCCGCATCCCGGGATCTGCCGGCGGGCTGGGGACAGTGTTAGCATAGGCCGGAGGCCTATTGTCTTCAGGGCACCTTTTAATGAGGTGGGTACCCTTGCTGCCTTTGGGACGGCCCTGAGCAGCACAGCAGCTATTCTGGAAGGTGACTGATGAGGAAGCCTGGGTATTTATTTATGCATTTTTTAAATTTGTTTGTTTATTTATTTTTCCCAGTAAAAAGCTGTGTTTTAATAAAAAGCTTTAGTGGGTGTTTTCAGCCTGTGGGTGGTCTGCCCCATACTCTGGAATGAAGATTGTGTCTGCCATCACTGTTCACGATTGCAGGCAGTCAGCAATAACAGCGTGCACATTAGGGTAGGTCAGAGGTGATCTTGGCTAGCAGGATTCACCCATTCAACCAGCCAGCCAGCCATCAGCCCAGCCAGCCTGACTGAGCTCTTAAAAATCCTGTGGGGTGAGAAGGGCACAGGGTTTTGCTACAGGGCTGTGAGTAAGCTCCTTATAATAAGGAATATAGAAGATATAAGACTTCATGAAAGCATTCACGTGTTTTGTGTAATCCATCTTGCCATTAGCAACATCAAGTTTGCAGCTGTTAATCTCAATAAACTGTCCTACTCTGCTTTCTAACCCTCTCAGCACTTTCTCTGACCTTCCTTATTCTCATCCACAGTGAGTTGCAGAACTTTATTTGTAGAGTAATTGAAAGACACCTGATTTATCCGTAGGATAAACTTCTATACAGGTGTGCAGACTATCTTAGGGAACAGTAGAGTAACAGAAAAAGGGTAGTGTTGAAAACAGTCATACAAATGTTTATAGACAGTCAGATGTTTCTTCTGCAGGATGATGCAGACATCCATATGGCTAAGTTTCAAGTTATAGTTACTTAAAAAAAAGGTAATAGAACAAGTAGGCACAAAACAGCTGATTTTGCTGTTCTGGGAAATGTGCTGTGTCACATCACATAACAGTGAGCTTCACATTTTTCCTTTTCTGGAATAGGATGCTTTCAGTTTTAAAATTCCTAGATCTTTTATTGTCACCCATAATTTTAAGGACACCATTGCAATAGTATGGAGAAATAGAAAGTAGTACATACCAAGTGTGTTTATGCCAAAATGTAATCAGTAACCATCATTATGGAGGGAGACATCCACAAAATAAATGAGGCATGACCACAATGGCCACTGAGTGTTCTCATTAGCAATGAGACCTTAAGGAGATATCTCAGGATCTACATCACTGAATGCTAAAAGCTTATGCAAAAGTGTTTATAAGCAAGTACCCAGGGCTTGCAATTTAGAGACTGTGCAAAATTGCTTTCTGCCTCAGTAGATATCACTTCTGTAGAGAGTTTGAAATTTTAAACTTCATACAACTACTAAAATGTTCACCACCATCTTTTTTTGGCTTTATGTCTCATTTTGTTGCAAGATCTCTTTATGTGAGTTTTGGTAAATGCTCTTTCTAGTAAACTAGTAACTCATGCTCTTAGGTGGGCACATCTTCCATTACCGTGGAATTCTATAGCTAAATTTTTATAAATTTAGTGTGCATTTTTACATCCCTATTTACCCAATTGCCAGAACCTTACATTTCTACTAGACAGTAAATTTAAAAAGGAAGAAAAGGACTGACATTTAATAAAACATGAAATGTTTTTTTTAAAAATGGGAAAGCCTAATAACCATAAACAATTATGTCAAATGGCATCTTAGTAGTATTAGGAAGACTTTGGATTTACTTGGTAAAAGTCCTATTGATTTTTAAATGAGTTTAAGTGGTTTTTTAGGTTTTGCATTTTTCTTAGAGTAACAACATTGGCTTATTTTATTATATGGAATGACAACTACACTTTTAGATTAGAAATGTACTTTTCTTATTTCTGTATTGGTTGTCAGCTGAATCTTGTTTTTAAAAATAAGCAAGAAAACCCAAAACAATTACATTCCTTGATTCAGTACATACAATTCTTTGTAGTTTTAAACCATCCATTACATGGCAGTCTGTTCATATAGCACAATTTGTTGGCCTCTCTCTTTCACATTCACACCTGAATTTTTCTATTGATTTTTAGAGCAATAGGTTTGAACCCAGAATATTTTATTCAGCAAGACATGAAGCACTTCCTTCCTGTTTTCTGACATCTTTAGGCCAGCCTAAGACACTGATCAGCCTGAGGATGGTTGGTTTGGCAGAAAGGAGATCACTCATTTATAGACCAGTTTAAGCACTGTGAAACATTTCCAGATCTAGATTACAAGATGAAAAAAGATAAATAAGCATGAAAATATCTAACATTTTTTGTCCAAAACAATAGTGTATAAACTTCTATTGAGATCTAAGTGAAGAACTGGACAGTTTTCTTCAACAGATAGAAAAAAAACTCTTGCCTCTGAATTGTGTTTCAGTGACAAGAAAAGAAAAGAAAAATTCTGCTTTACTGTCCCCCTTCTGTGATTGGCCTATGAGTTTGTATGTCAAAAGCAGAAGTCCTGGGCAGCTGGCTGTAAGTGGCCCTGTCTAGGCAGGGGGTTGGACAAGGCAGTCTCCAAAAGTCCCTTCCCACCTCAAACACTATGATACTTTGAGTCTGTAAACAGTGGATGACAATGGATCATAAACTGGAAGAACAGTTTCAGTGAGAAAAAGAAACTCCTTACCATTGAGGACTGACTTGGCTTGCTTCCGGTTGTAGTGTGTAAGAAGATAAGACAATATATCTCGATTATTTTCTCCTTGAACCAGAGGAGATTATTCAGTCTCTGTTAAAATGGTAAATTAGTCACAGTTAAAAATTCCCCAGCATGGAGGAACCTTAGGTAAATTACTCCATATCTTTCTCAATTAAATTCTTTCTTGTGAAAACAAAACCTGTCCAGCATTTGGCCATCCTTTC